GACCAATCATCTGAGCCGGCCCGGCTAAAATGTCTGGATGGCCTACCTGCCTGTCAGCCTTCCATCTGTGCACACATTTATCTCGTGCCCTCATTGGTCATGTGCGCGTTCGTGTGTGTTGGAGGAGGGGCTCTGTAAGGAAGTCTGGTTGTGTATTTTCAAATTCTAGCGCACTCGAGCTGGTTTCTCCTTACCTACCCCAACCGTTAACTCTTTTTAGGGTGCAGCTATATGTTTTATTTATTTCAAAGTGGGGACATTTTAATTATATATTTGTTTCCTTCAAATGTGCAGAGGACTCCCCAACTGCTGTGTTTAATTTATTTTAAAGTAGGCCTGTGTATTATTTTTAATTCTCCTTATAGGCTTTGTTTCTTATTAGAGGTTAACAGTTTATATAATGTAATAAATAGCGTAATACATGCAAAAAAACTGTAGTTTTTGTCTAATATAACAATAAATACAACTTTATTAGCTATCAAGCTATGAAATATGTTTTGCGGCTCCAGACAATTTGTTTTTTGGAAAAAGGAGCAAAATGGCTCTTTTGGTCAAAAAGGTTGCAGACCCCTGCCCTATCCGATAATAATCCAATGCACAGGAAATGATGTATTATAATACATTATTTTATATATATTACATATTTATATATGTATATTTATAAAGTCTTAAAGTCACAACCGGCCCTTTGAGTGCAACCATAATGCTGATGTGGCCCGCGATGAAATTGAGTTTGACACCCCTGCTTTAGAGCTCTTCAAAATGCACCAGGGCTGCACAGTTCATCTCAAAATGGCAAACTTGATTGATGCAATATCTACATCGCAGGGAGTGAAGTGTTTGTTAAATCAGGGCCTATAAAAGACATTTTACAGACTTAACTAAATATCCCTGTTTGGTACAATTACAATATGATCATTGACATAATTAATGATGCGAGTAATGTTTAAAAAAGGATTATTCCCTCTAACATAAAGCAAGATATATTGATTTAAACGTGTATCCACACTGGTAGCAGGATGTATAAAAATGTAGGTATTTTTCATAATGAAAAATGATTTGGAAATCTCATCCACAAACTCAGATTACTATGCAGAAACAGATCCAGCCGCCCTTTGAATTGTAAGAAAATGATAGTTGAGAAAGTATTTTGAACAGTCTCTGCTGATTTGAACCCCTCAACTCTCAGATTAAAACAGAGATCGCTTATGACACTCGCCATTGTGTTCTTTATTCTTTTATAGGTAATAAAATACCGGCAACAGAGACATACATAAAATCAAGTTGATCTGCAAATAAATCTAAAATATAGTCTACGGTTGCATTTTTGGCAAATATGACAAGATTTTAAGTTTATTTCTCCACAACTGTCAACCATCACTTTGCCTTTGGGACAAGAGAAGCAGAGAGTTGTCTTGCAGCTCTATATTGTTTGAGCCAGAGGTTCTCTTTTTTCCATACCGTTCCCTAGGTGAATGCTTGTGTCACCTGATTCCTAATTCATAGTGTTACATCGAGATTGTAATGATACTTGCCATTGCATTCTGTATAACACAGTTGTTGGACCTCTCAGGCACAGAGATGTAAAAATCTGCCCCCATAAATCACAATTCAAATGCCGCGGCTTAATTCTGAACATGGAAAATCTGTTTCAAGTTGAGGTGCAGCAAACAACTGAAACCATCTGCAGCAAAATCTCAAGATCGATACTTTGACTAGCAACAATTTAAGACGATGATCTCAGACCACTTCACCTGAGTGTATCTCGACATCATTGCATCATTTACAAGGATAAATAAAATGACTTTCAATAAGCTACCAAAACACTATAACACACGCTTTACAAGCAGCAAGAGGAAGCCAAGCTGAGTTCAACCAAGGCCCCAGGAAGTGAGCCGGGTGTTGAAACAAATGTTCATAGTGGCTAAATGGTGGTACTACAACTTCTGTGACCGTGAGTTCAACTTCCAACACACCATAAACACGACACGCACAGACAGCAGCCTTACCGTGAAGATGCGTCGTCCGGTCCTGTCGAAGGTGACGCAATAAACGGACGAAAGATGTCCCAGAATCCTCTTGTGCATCTTCATGTGCAGGTACACCACCGTGGGCACTAGCTGCTTAAGTCTGTAGGAGCCGTTCAGTCGACGGCTGAAGTTTGTCTCCACTGGAAAACAGAAATGACACAGACACCAGTGAGGAAATTGTCATATGTGCTACAACAGTGTGCAGGAATACACATTGATTCTGAAGCAAAACATAATATCACCACTGTTAAATATAACATCAGCTATAGGACCATGGCAACTAATAAGATAGTACGGAAGATCTGACTCCTAGACTGAATACCAAAAGCATGACGAAGACTGAAAATTGTGTTTTGTTTTGCAAAGTGTTCTCTTTACCAATATTAGGTGGACTCCCATAGATAATAGGTGGCTCCGGTGGTCTTCCGCAGTGCAGAGCAGCCAGCGCAGAGCCCTTCCACACAACATGCTTGCAGCCTGGAGGAGGATGAACACAAAAAGAGATGCATAAAGATATATATATATATATATATATATACATATATACACACACATGGTTTCTGCAGGTTTCAACAAATGAAATGGAAGGATTTTGAAGACCATATAAAGTGAAATTGAATTCCCATTCTTTTTGGTAGTAATACTGGCACAAGAAGTCCTAGAATTACTTGAAGTAAATTGATTAATTTATCAAATTGGTTATATTATACAATAGTCATATTTAACAGCAATGTAAGTCTAAATCTAGCTACATCTAAGATCTTAAATTAAAGAAACTGGTAGGGTAGAATGACAGTCACCATGGAGATAAAGAAGCACTTAATGAATGTGCTAAATTAGATTATGATACAAGTTAAACACCTTTATTTTGATTGCGGTTTTGTTCTCCCGCCAAGCAGAACACATTCACTTTGACAACTCTCTTCATTGTTTGCAGTTACCATGACATTCAAGTCATATTTAACATTTATTTATTTACTCTAAATTTCAGACAATTTAATTTAAGACTTTTTAATGACACATGAAAACATGTAGACAGTATTTATTATGGATTGTCCATATTGTATTCATCTATTATATTTACATAAGTAGAAGGGAACGAAATGTAGTGAAAAGAGGTTTTTTAGTTTGTAAGGACATGCAGAGAGCTGTAGTAGCCTGAGTGTGTGTGTTTGCATATTAAAGTAGATATTTAGAATGTATGCACTCACTCTTGCTGGTGCGGAGGAGATTCTGCCGGCCGGCCCCCAGCAGGCTGGTGAGTCCCGGGACGCTGGCGGGGACCTCGGTCTCCAGGAGAGGACACACTCTGGAGCAGACCTGCAGCAGGTGTTCGGGACTGATGTGCCGGTATAGCTTCACCTGAACACACACACACACACACACACACACACACACACACACACACACACACACACACACACACACACACACACACACACACACACACACACACACACACACACACATTAGCTTAGATTGTATTCAGACTGGTAAACGCCAGTCAGAAAGGTGCAGGATTGAATAGCAAAATGAAATGTGCTCAATTGTTGCACAAATTTGATTCAATCAAGACATCAGACAAGCTCTCCCAAAAAAGATGAACTATATTAGTACACCAAAAACAAAGGAATAACATAAAAGAAGCAGTTTTCAGTAGTCCTAATAGTCGGACTATATAAAAGAAACACTGGCGAGAAATAAAAAAAGGTTATAATTAGATGTATCAAGCGTCTGCTGGCAAACAGGTTTGTTCTCTGGCTGCAGTGCATTTATTTTCTCTTGAGCACACACACCAAAATGTATTATGAGCAAAACAAGGACACGCAGAGAACAAGGTCACTACCCAGAACGCCTTTTGGTTTGCTGAGAAATGTAAGAGTAAATGTGCCCTTTTCAGAAATTAATTACTATTCTCTGGAGGTTTAACAGCAATAAACTGAGTACGGCTAACAAGGACTACAACAATATTTTATTCAATTATGTTTTCTTTTCAGATTTAGAAAAAAAGTATTCCATAAACTGAATGAATGCTTGGATTTAGTTAGGATGCTTGTCTTTTAGAAGGATATGCATGCCGTTCACATGCAGTGTAGTGCATCAGCAGGGGAGGGGGGTGTGGCATGCAACACTGCACTGATATAAACACAGTGGGTCTATGATTCCACATGGTGACTCTCCTGCATGGCCTACGTCTGAAGATACACACGCCCGAGTGACTGGAATAGCAGTGATACACCAGAGGAGTTAATTATGCAGCCGCACTGTGTTTCATTCAGGGTGTGTTCAGGGTTTCAGGGTGTGGGGTTATTTCAAATGTATCCATTTAAAATGAGCTTTGTTTCAGACACATCTCATTTAAATATCTGAACGGGGTCAAATAGGCCTGAAATCATACAATTACACTGACACACACATTTTCCCTCCATTCCTTTATCTGACAGTAACACTTATTATCTGTGGCACACACACCTATACACACATACACAATTAATGACCCCTTAATTGCTTTCAACAGCCTTGCCGGCTCAAATACGTGATCAGTATTTCTAAGCACATAACAGCACACTAGCAGGTAAATGCAGCGCTGTTACACACACACACACACACACACACACACACACACACACACACACACACACACACACACACACACACACACTGAAAAGATAACAATTAGCTCCATTTCCCTTGCTTCTTAATGGTACTGCATAACACTCCCCTTGTCATAACAGCAACACCAGAAAGCACATGGTCCCCTTACACATGACAATCCCCACCTTACATTTGAATACACCGTTCTAAAATCAATAATGTATTCAAAACATAATTATCTTCAACATATGGCTCTCATAACTGAAACATCCAATCATTGTTGAGATCCACTAGTTATTTGAGGTCAAAATTAAAATGACACATTTGTGTAAATATGGTTACAAATAATTACGGGGTGCTATTTTAATTCAAAAATAGCTCAAATGTAATGTTTTTGGGATCAATTCCATATGCACAATTAAATAATCACATGTCTAATTAATCCGCCCTAATTAATTAGATGCAATTAATATCGTTAATTAATACGTTATCAATGAAGCCAACGTTGATTTCTCATTGTTGCCCAACCCTCTTCTGTACAGACCCAGACATATACACCTAACAGCCTCCGATCAAACACATCCAACCGTGATCCCCTATATAACACCATGTTTCTATTCAGTCTAATAATTAAAAACCATCCGCAGTATGTTTTTGTTTTTTTCTAATAGAAGAAAATTATGCACAATAACCAGGAGGCAGGCTGATCGGCAGGGAATGGGGGGGGGGGGCAGCAGAGCCAAGCAGGAAGAGAGGGGGAGAAAAAACACATGCAGACAGAAAGACTGTCAATAATCTCTAAAACGTGTAAATGTACACCCGGGTGAATGTGCACTTCATGCGATATCGTCTCGCACGTCCATGTGTCTGTATATGAGAGAGGACGAATCGAGAAAATCCAGCAAATTAAATAGGTCATAAGCCAATATTTTTATATTAATATTAAAATCAAACTTCAATTAAATAAAATAGCAAAACAAGTGGGGGTTCACACCTCCAGCACAATGGCGAAGAAATAAATATGTACGCGATGATTAATTCTCTCCACGCCCCCATGCGTAAACGGCGCTTTCAGCCGAGCCCTGTTTGTTTACATGACAATTAGCACTTCATTAATAGAGCAATTATAAGGTATCCTCTCATCGTTACCTCTCATCTTCAACATAAACTCATCTCTTCTCCTCCATCCGAGTTTGCAACCGCAAAAAAATGCTCTCCAGAAAATGCCTCCACAACAGCCCTGCACAGCAGCCTCCTCTCAACTGGGTCGCTGTAACTCCAGCTTTGCTAAATATACTGTTTATATTCTCCTCCAAAAACTCCAGTTTTCTAACTCTTGCCCCCTGTGTGTTTTCAAACCCATGCACACACATTATGCAGGACAAGAGCGCCTCCATCTCTCTCTGGCTTGTGGCGCAGGGAGTCCCTCCTCCGGATCCTGGCGCTCCTACACCACAACACTCATGACGTATCAACATTTCACACACATTTTTCCAACAACTATTACAACCTTTTGCACATGCATGGCACCCAACTCGCACACCACGGTGCACAGGAGGCTGGGACCCGAGCCCTTGGTGCCCCACATCGGCCCCAACTTGCAGCCAGCTAGCCCTGCAAAGTCCTTTACAGCTTTTTCTTCACCACCTGATTTAAAAATTGCGGGAAATTCAATTTTTATTTTGCTCTCTAAAAACTTTTCCCTCAGTTATAGAGCTCCCTTACCAAATTTCTGTACGTCCCGGGGTGCTCCTGCCCTGTCCAGTCCAGCCTTATGGGTAGCAGCTAAGATGGAAAAATAATGTCGTCGTTATCATTCAGGTTATAAATGTAGCAGGTGATTTTTTAAAAGAGTAAATTATAAATCGGAGTGAAAGCAACATGACAAAGTACAGTGCAGAGAGAAGCATCTCTCTTGTAGTACTGACTGCTTACCTCCTTCTCCTCCACCTCCCTTATCAGGGTCTGAAAATAGGATAAAAATAAAAAATTACACCCCATGACGATTTCGGACATATTATAAATTATCCTAAAATGCATAAACACCAACCTCGGCTGCTTTTTGACACGGTCCAGCTTCTAGAAATCGGGCTATTAGGAAGTACAGTTCTGGTATGGTTGGAGGGGGAGAAGAGGACGGGAGCTGCGTTAGAAGAGGGCACCGAGGAAATTGGGGGGATATTACAACAACCATGACACATTTTCCGTTCTCCTTTACTCACCAGAAGTCAACTGCGCGATGTGTGAACTGTCTGAAGCCATTTTGGTGTTGTTTGCCAGGGCAGCGCCAGAGCCTGTGTGCTGGGTCTAGGTGGCTGCCCTGTAGCTGTCACTGTTTATCCACCAGGAAGAGGCTCCATTCAGCTCCGCTCAAACCGAGTCCCGGCTGCGTCGAGTATATCTCCGCCGAGCAACAAATAGTGCGCGCTGAACGGTTTACCCCGCAAAACACCGTCTTCCTCTAGCAAAAAAACCAGCACAGGATATGTTCCAGGGTTGGGAATCCCTCAGGGTGAATTTTAGTGGCGGTTGGTCTGTTGTGCAGGCATGTTTGTTTAAATCCCCCTCCCCCTCAAAAGCAAAAGCGCAAGCCCTCTGCGGAAGAAGACGAGTGGTGTGTTTGTTTCACGCACGCCACCACTGTAGAGGGGAGGTAGAAATGGCAGCCTGATGTAGGAGAGGACATTGCTGCAGAATGGCTTAAACTTCGTAGCTAGATTACATTTATCACGTTTTAATAATTACATGCCTATATATTCATAGTTTACATTTTGTTGCGTGTTAATACAATGCAACTCTTGGTTCTATTTTTCTGTGTTCGTAGCTGCGGATGTAGAATGTGGCCACCGTGTTTGAGGGGGATTTCACAGCCGACTTCTTTAGTCAGGTTTTATCAAATAATACATATAGTTGTAGTAATTGTGTGTGTTCTCGTCGACTTCGTGTGTTATCACACTGTCGTTAATGTGTAACAAGATGTCTAGCTAACACACCCACTCTCTGGGAGCCGTTTGGTGGGGAAGTCGTCCATTTCTCTTCCAAATACTGCGAGGCAGTAAAATGGGGGAAGGGTTGGAGAAGAAGGGGGATGCATGCAGCTTAATGAATGAAACCTCGTGAGTTAAAGGAATGTAATGGCAATGAGACATTTATGCCTGCTACATAATCAGGGAAGATTGTCAAGGAAATACATCACACAGCAACTTCCTCTATGGTTCACTGCAAGGTTATGAGAAAAAGGAACAAAACTCAGGTGTTATTTTCTCTTAATAAATAGTATAAGACGTCCCGGGACGTACACCATTATTAATTGTATTAAGTATGTGTTTTATATCTTTATTAAAATAGGCCCTACATGTTTTAACAGCAGGTGGCCAAAAGTACACACGCTCTTCTCTAATTGACCTTTACTCTTTTTTTATTTGAAAACATCAATGAAAACATACATAATTGAATTACCGAATTCTAACTGCATTCTGTTCAAAATTCTCATAGACTCTTATAAATTGCAAAACAAAATGTACAGCAATCCAGGGAACCAACTAACTTAAATTCACAGTGAGAGATATTTACACACCCAAGTGGAACCAGACTATTTAAAAGTGACAAGGAATGTTATAGCTTATGTGTTCCCCTTATTTTTGTCTTTTCATAGTCTAAACTCTGTGTTTGGAATTAGGTTATTAAATTGTGTTATCTACCTAAATAAAGAATTATTCAAAGCACTTTTCTCATGTGTTATGTATATTGTTTTAACTGAATAGCATTATCTAAAAAAAAAAAGAGAGGCATAGCCACTGGTATAGAAACTCATCTCCTATTTATATAACACTTGTCTCACTTAAATCCCTGGCAGACACACCAGGGAACAGACAGTCTGTTGCTGGGAAGATGCTGATGATATGGAAACTTGAACAGATGACAAACTAATTCTCTGCCTCTGTTACTTTCTGAAAATGTGTTTTGTTTTTTATATCCAGTTGATACTTTATTTTGGTGCCAAATGTTTTCTTGGTAAGCTTTTTTACGAAACAAGCCAGCAGTAGGCCTAAGCCTATTTTGCCATTTCAGCATCCTATGTATGGTCACCCTCCTGTGATAGAGTTAGGTCAGCTGCGGCTAATGTCATGTCAGGCTGAATTTTTTTAACTCACTCCCCTGGATTTGGGTAGAGTACAATCACAAGTACAGTTGGCTGTTTTACAGAACTGGTCTCCAGGCCAATGATAATAAAGGAATGGTGATTAATGACTGTTTACCCGCCTCTTGCAAGAAAGGAATTCAGAGGGAAAGTTCAACAGCTGTCAGAGCCAACTCATATTATTTTTTGTTCAAGTAAAGAGAGTAATCATTTAAGAAAATGTTTTTACATTGTGTACGAAATGTTAGACACCCAAAATGTCAAATGAGGATACATCCCCTATTTTAGAAATAGTCATACATAAAAAGAAACAGGACAGAGTGAGATAAGCAAATATTTGGAAAAGCACAAAAAATTGATAGAAATGCAAATGTTACCTTAAGTTGTTTTCCATTTAAAATGTGTCACAATAAAATCCAAAGCGTTATAACTAATTGAAGACCTTTTCAGATGCGTTTTTTTTTATTACGGTATATAGATGTTGATTGTATTGATAAGTAGAGTTGTATATTTATTAAAGGGAAGTCCGACAATATATAAGATATAAGTCTTGAATATAGAATATAGTCCTGTGGAGTGAATGTCTGAAGAAGACTTAAAAAAGTTCTGCAGAATTCTAGGAAAGTCAAGAGCTAGGTCTACATATGTATGAAAGTCTTTTAAATCTTCGTATTAAAACATTATAGCAGTATATATTTTTTTCTGACAAGTAGATGAGAAAAATGATTGAGCAAAGCTACTCAAAAATGTATTCAGGATCTTATTAAGATAGGAACATGTGATCCCTAATGCATTATTTCAGAACATAATACCGGGATAAATCAATAATCTGTAATATTATGTAAAATACAAGACATGAACAAACTCTAATTTGAATACCAATTGTTTTTTGTTTTTTACAGATATATTCAATAATAAATGTCCATGTTAATTTTTTGTCAACTACGACACCAAGGACTTCAATGCTAGGATTTCTTTCGATGAGCTTGAAATATTTTAGATTTTTCTTGGTTAAAAAATGTCATATTTGCTCCTTGAATTAGTGTGCTAAAATGTTCACGTTAAAGAGAAACACATGGCATCAGTAAAAAAAAAAAGTGGAATTTGATTTTAAGTGTCAACCACCTTAAGAATGGTTTATTTAACCACTAAACTAGACCACCCTGCAATCTGTACTTGACAGCCCTCAGGGCATGTTAACGCACAAATGCATGGAGTCTGCCTTTGTCAGTCACTTTATGTCACCTGTCATCCGGACCCCTCAGGTGTTGTTGTTGTGCTGGCTGCAGTGGCCACAAGGAGGCAACCTCACCCTGCAGCACCTGTCTGCACAGCAGGCCACAGAGGAGGAACAATGAGGAAAATGTGATCATTTACAATTTCCTGTAACTAAGAACATTTTACTGATCATAAGTGACCAGACTTCTTCAACCCTTTTCACTTATTTCCTCATTTTTAACCAAATAATTATCCTTATACTGTAACAAGTACTAGATATTTGATGACATTAGATTAAACTCATGAATCCAGAAAGCTAATAACTTTTAGTTATTGCTTCTATGAAATTCCATGAGCTTTAATGGCATTACTGTGGTATCACATCACTCAGACACCACCTGCCCAGCACTACATGTAGATGTTGTGTTCGAATTGTTAAAAAAATGTGTAAGGGTTTAGAATTATTTTTAAATAATGGTTGTTTATCATTCATGATAAAACCATATCCTCTCTTGGTTTTATGAACCAGTCACTTCTGTGATCCTCAGCTTTTCTTCCATCACAAAGTGTTTTAAAAAAAAGCAGTCAATTTACGAAATGCCCACAATAATGAGCTTCACATATATCTGGCTACAGGATTTCCAGGTCTATTCGAGAAGATGCTGAATATTTTAGTCTTCCTTGGGGTTTAGTGCAAAACCGTGTGTTAAAGTGGCTTCTTAGAACTGAAATCTGTCGCCGAGAGGGAAAACATCGGGGAAATAATATATCACTGTCAGGTTATGTAGCTTCTGAGGATGTGTATAGCCGTACTCTTAAATTAAACGGTTTGGTTTAAAAGGTCATCGCAGTAAAAAACTGTCAAAATAAATGTTTTGTGTAATCTGCACACATTCCTACAGCTGTTACGTTCCAGCAAAAAAGGTTCCATATTGCTGACCAAGACTCCTGATAATACATTTTTGGATTGGTCTCTGCGGTATGTGACATTTAAACAATCCACACCTATACATGATAAAAAAAATTGAATTGGTGCACATCATCGGCCCACTATCGTGAGTGACAGTTTGTCCCTAAATGAAGAGAGCGTACGGTTTCGTCAGTCCCGGCAAATGCTGACCTTTCACTTCCTGACACAGCAGTTGTATTTAACACAGCCACGTGCACCTGTCGACCTCACACACACACACACACACACACACACACACACACACACACACACACACACACACACACACACACACACACACACACACACACACACTGTGTGTGTGTGTGTGTGTGTGTGTGTGTGTGTGTGTGTGTGTGTGTGTGTGTGTGTGTGTGTGTGTGTGTGTGTGAGGTCGACAGGTGNCAATGTTTACAGCAAAAACACTGTCTTTCCAACATTCTCACACTTTACTATAATGCAACACCTAATAAAGAATACATTAATACACCGGATGTTAAACGCATACTTGAATTCATAGTCATTAATTGAAGTTAGTGGCTGAGAAATTGTATATTCACAGGGCAGAACTAATATTATAGTACAGTAAACAGGAAGTGCACATCCAGTCCACATACACCGATAATGATAATTAATAAGCGAGTAGTGGTTGACTTGTGCAAGCATTTATGAAAACATGAATGTATCCCTGTAATGCCATGAGAAGCAGAAGTTGCAACTGCTAGATCGTTTTAGCATGCAGGCCTATCAATCTAAATCTCATAAATTACACGGCTATACAATACACACAACTTTTAATGTGCAGCTTTTTATCATACTAAACATATTTGGCTAAGTTGTCTCACACCATGTTGTCAGTGAGGAGTGAGCAGGTTTTATTTCCAGCCACTGACTCCACCGGGTCATTTTACTGATTAACAAACCTTTAACAGTAGAGGAGGAAAATTAGCTTGTGCAGTCTGCAGCTACAATGAAAGAAGACCTACATACACAGTTTGAGATCTTCTAAGGGAATATAAATTAGGCTTTCTTTGTTAATTACAGCTGGTATTGCATGAGCTAGCTTTGGTTCAATGCCCCTATGAAGCTATTATTAGAGCAGACTGAAGCAGCTTTATGAAACAACTGCAAAAACTCCTCTTCCATGTTTACAGCCTCAAGCTGAGTTGTGTCCCTCCTGACACAGCTTTATATGAGTTTTGAATACATACGCATGAAGGGCCCGGTCCTATTCTGCATCACGGTCCAGCCCTCCTTGGCCGCGATGAGGATCGGCATGATCCTGACGTTGTGTTGATAATGGAAGTGCTCGGGAATGTCTTCCTTCTTGTAAACCACCATGTTAGGGTTGACATCCACCAGCTTGTCGTAAATCTCGTCAAGCTTCCCTGAAACCCAGATGACAACATTATGTTTGTAGATTTTTTAAATCACACAGCTGTCATACAATGTTTGTAGTTGAACCTCGAAATTGTAATGCACTACAATGTTTCTGTAAGCTGCGTTATCTTTAGCCAGAACAGGTGACATAGTCTGTCAACTAGCTGTAGCTGAATTGTGTATCGTAAAAACATTTTTTTTTTTTCTCATCAAACAAAAATGTAATTCCAAAAGTTTTTTACAGTGGTATATGTGACAGATGTTCAAAGGATTACCTTCTTTGGGAAGCAATGCCACCACCGGACTCTTGTCCACCCAGGTGTACAGGTCTCTGCTCACATACTCATCCAGTTCTATGATCTTATCAGAGGAGAGCTGCGTCATGCCGTGGTCGCTGGTCACGATCAGGTTCACTTTCTCATACAGCCCAGCCTTCTTTAGCTCGTTCATGAGGAAGCCGAGCTTCTCGTCGATTCCGGCGATGACTACATCCATGAGAGGACTCTCGGGTCCGAGTTTGTGCCCGCTCTCATCCGGCTCCTCCCAGTACAGAACTCCAAAATCCACTGCTGCCTCTTTGGGTGCAGAGAACCACTCGATAAGCCGCTCCACTCTGGTTTCAAAGGACACTGAGGCATTGTACAAGAGGTACCGATTGGGGAACATGCCGTGGATCTTGACGTCAGACCCCGGCCACATCGCCGCCCCGCTTCGACCTCCAGCTTTCTGGATGCTGACCCATAGTGGTACCGCTGCTTCCCACCACCGCGACTCATAAACACTGTCCGTCTCCATGGAGAAGGAGCGGTTGAGAACAGGGTCGTACATCTCGTTGGCCACAATGCCATGCGTCTCAGCGTACAGCCCTGTCACCAAGCTGTAGTGGTTGGGATAGGTCTTGGTAATGTAAACGTTCTCCACGTGCTCCACCATCACGCCGTTATCAATGATGTTGTGGAAGTTAAGTGTCGGGACTCGGTCGATGTAATCCCATCGGAAGCCGTCAAAGGACACAAGCAGCAACTTGGGCCGCTCCTTGGCACTGTGGCTCCTGCGCCCATGTTGGTTCACGCTATGGAGGGAGACCAGAGGCAGCAGCAGGGCCCACAGGCAGAGGAGAGGACTGCAGCCTCCTCGCAGCAAGCAGCTCAGCATAGTCAGGATTGTGAAGAGACAACTTACAAACATAGAAAATGAAAGAACTCAGTGCCAGGTCCCTTAGTTATATTTAAGAGAAATCATAAAGCTACAGCACAGAAAGATATTAAAGACAATTTCTGTTTTTATCTGACCAAAAGATACAAACATATTTACCATCATGCACGACAAAGAAAACCCTAAACTTAATGGAAGAATGTATAATAGGTCAGAGAACAACCTCTAACATGTTATAGCAGATCCGAATCACAGGGCAGATACAAACGTTTTATCTATTTATTAATGGACGCAGCCTTGTTGTTCTGTGCTCTCGGAGTGTCCTTCTCGTCCATTTTTTGACAGTTCATTCGACTCTACTTCAAACTCTGTGGTGACAATTTGGGAAAGGCCTACAAACATCAATGGCCGACCGAAAGCCCTTCCTCAATATAATGGCCATATTTGTCCTTAGATGACAAACAATTTAAAATTGGTGTAGGCGCAGACCTAGTTTGTTCAGATGCAATATCATTTTTGTTTACCTCTTTGTCAACATACACAAGCGAAACACACAACTTTTGGCAGTGAGAGATTTGGCAATATTGATAATTACCTACATTATAACATTTGAGGGTTTTTATCAATAATGTGAACATTATTGGCGATTAGGGTTGAGGCAAATAATCGATAAGTCGATCAACAAACATGCAACAACTACTGTCATTTAACCATTAAAATGGCTGGTTCCAGCGTCTCTCAAATCAGCTTGTTTTTCTCAGTTTTAAATTATGAATACCAATGTGATTTGAACGGTTGGTTGTAATTTAAAGATGTCCCTGCAACCTGTGGGATGTATAGGTTGAAATATTAGATGTTTCTCAGAACATTTATAGATTAAGGATTTAAGGAAAATAAAGTGTCAGCCCTAGTGTAAGAAAAAAGAATTACTTCTTACGCAAGAGCTGAAATTGTGTTTACCAAGAGCTGTGTATGTTGACAAGGAAATAGGCTAAATGGCCAAAATTATTGACCCCTGAATGTTACACCAATTTGTGATTATTGGACATATAATAACTATGACCATTATTATGGAAGTGAAGTGTATCAGTGTCTTAAAACTTTAAAGCTCGATCACGATATTCAATAACAAGCCATATCACGATATTGCTAATGTTTTTTTGTGAGTTAAACAGCAGCAATATTAAACAAAAGGGTAATACTGGTGAAAAGCAGGAAAGCAATGATGTCATATGGCAGGCTGAGAATACTATGACTGTAATGCATCTTTAAGTGCCACTTAAATACATTTAAATGACAGCCATTGTGCTGATAGGCAACCACATTAATGTGGAAATAATAAGCTCCGTGTTGTAGCATTAGAGCCGCAGAGCTAACAGCTCCAACACGCAGCACTGAATGCAACAATAAGACAACTACACAAAGCAGCAATCATTTGCATGGGCGGATCAGGGCAGATTAATGCACACATTCATAACGCGACAGATTGTGATGTCAACAAGCTTACCTTGTTATCTGATCCTGCACTGGCTGGCCTTGCGCTGCACACCGAGATAAACAGCCGGAAGTAAGTCCCGCCTATTAACCTGCGGAGTGTTTTTTGTGTCGCTTTTATTTACAGATATTAGACCAAACTAGATGATGAGAATACAAAAGGCTCTGCGGTGTTTCCTGCAAGTGCATGCTTTGTATCATGCAGAGCTGCATCCCCCAAATTCACTGCGAACGCACCGGTCCCGATGACGTAATGTAGGAGGAAGGTGGGAGGAGGCAAGGGGAGATAGATAGATGGAGGGAGGGGGGAATGTTATTATAAATAGACATCTTTTGGTGTCATCCAGGTTATAAGTATTTTTGCTCTTACATGTTGCCCCTCCGTCCCCCTCTCCACCCTCCTTTTTATTAGAGGGTTGGGGGGCAGGGGATGTTCAGGAGGAGATCAAACGTATGAGATAAACTGAAAGCATTAATGTGTGCTCCTTATTGCATGTCAAATTGTTAATCATTAATCTGTAATATAAATTAATTAATACATTGGGTAAATGTACAAGGGCTTAACACATTATGATGGAAGTATATAATGGCCCTCTGCAGGCTCTATTATGTCTCATATCTATATAGGTAATTTCGCATGAATATAATTTGTTACAGATGGGGTGCTAATGCAACCATTGTTTGTCTACTTCACTAGCAGATTTGATAACAGAACACATTTAAATTGCAAAAAATCCCATAAAACACCAAGACCATGAGGAACATTATAGAATACATTTGTGATTGGATCTGGTATCAAAGACTTTTGACATTACGAGATGTCTGTATAATTTCAGTTTTCTGTGATTGTATTGTTGCAGGAATTCTTCTGTCATAAAATACCAGTATGAAATATTTAATTAATGTGCTGAAATGTGACAATGTGTTTCGAGGGAGTAAAGGCAGCAGCAATTTACTCCAAAAAATACTCCTGACTAAAAATAGTTACCATCAAAGACATTGTTGCTCTAATTCTGTCAGACGATGATAATGCTGGCACATGGGCTGCAATAATAATGACAAACACTGTCCACAAGGTGTCAGACAAGTCCTCTATTCAGGTCTGGCTTTCTTCACATTCTGTTAAAAGAAAGATGGCATCTAAATCATGACGCTGCAAGTCAGAGTGAGACACCAACTGACAAGGTCCACCATTTCTGTACAGAAAGAGATACTCTGGTTAAGCATTATACGTTATTCATTTTCTATTAACTGCATTATAATGGATGTTCTAACGCAAGCATTTTGATTATAATTATTATGCTTAAACAGCTTTTAAATGGACCTAGATATGCAATGTTTTGTCTATTGCCAACCGCTGCTTAAAAACTAACTTTAACTTTAAAGCTCTAAAGACATTTTGTTAATCAGAGGTTAAACGTGGTAAATAGACTAAAACAGAACGTCATTAGGTTTTTATCTTTACAAATGAATCTCATCTCCACCATTACATCTTAGTTCTTATTTCTTTCTATTTTGTGTTGTTTATTTCTCATTAATTATGGCACTCTATCCCTGATTGTATGTCTCGTTTTCCTTATTATATATATTAAGCTTATTAATATTATAACATACATAGGGATATATTAATAATTAAAGTGAAAATCTGAATGAGTCAGTGAGAAAACATAACAAATGCAGTTGCATGGAGTCACTGAATGGCTTGATAAGCATAGAGATGATGTGGCCTCCAGGCACCAAAACTTAACCCATATCTAATGGTCTGAAACAAGGCCATTATTAGCCTATGTCAAAATGATAACAATCTTAATAAAAAATATCTAAAACCCTCACATTCGACCCCTTGGGACCTTTTTAAGACTAGAGGATTGGGATCAAATTATCTATTTGGTCTTTTAACACCAATCAATACTGCCTAAATTCCAGTCACTTAGATTGCTAAACAATAGGGCATTGCTGTAGTTTAATTGACTAATAACACATTTAAATAAAGTTGAATCATTATTTAAAATAAATAAAAAATAAATGTAATCAAATATTTTTTTTACCCACTTACTGACCCAGATCTGAGATATCACTGAAAATACATTTTCACCAAAAACTGTTTTTGCCATTTGGCCCAATAAAAAGTGAAATGTGTAATATTACTTTAACTGCAATATGATAACAAACGAGTATAATTGTTAAAAATGTAGGATATTTGAACTAAATACAATTGAACAATGCTCCTCTCATGCACACATGTAAATATTTATTTTGTATAGCTAAGCAAACAATTTAGCTTTAAATCAGTACACAATATGATGTCATAACAACCACGGGATGGATTGGAAGAAACAGTAATGTGTGCTTTTCTGACTTTTCACCTAGCCTGCTAAACGAATGCTTTCCTATTGGTCTCTGCTATGTGTATATATATATATATATATATATATATATATATATATACTATATATATATATATAGTGATAATTAGCAAATGTTAGCAAGCTAAAATGCTAAACTAAGATGGTAAACATGGTTTATATTATACAGGCTAGTCATCAGCCTGTAGCTTTGTTATTGTGAGCCTGTTAGCATGCTGGTCTTAGCATTTAGCTCAAAGCCTCACTGTGCATAATTAGTAGCCTCACAGAGCTACACCTGTTCAAGTAAATATGTCTTTGATGTACACAGTTCCCAAGGCTTTAAATACAAATCTAAAATGTGATACAATACAAAAGGAAAGCATGTTTGGGAAAAGGCAAATGATGCCTCTTATTACTGAAAAAAGGGTACATGAAAGAACAGAAAAGTAATTCATAAATAAGTAGTACAAGTCAGTTTTACCAAAGAAAAGTCATCAATATGAATCAAACCTTAACATTTTGGAGGTTATTTATTTTGAGTTTTGATTCATTTTGTGCCTTTCTTTTATATATGTATGTGTTTTAAATGTTCCTCGTTGTGTTTTCCCTTCCATTTAGCTGACAGTGTGAATCTTTGTGGGGACAGTGGCCACTGCTCCTGTGTGTTCTGGGTTCACTTCTAACATGAAGGGTTTTGTTTGTTTGGGCAGGAAAGCTCTGTCTATTGTGACATGTGTAGCTGCACGTGTGTGTGTGTGTGTGTGTGTATGTGCGTGTGTCTAGCTTAACTGGAATGTTGAGGTATCTTTTGTTAATTTCTTTGTTGATTTAGTATGTTTTTTGCCTTCTATGTTTAACATGGTGTGCTTAAGGTATCCATTGATTTTAAGTAGAGCTACTAGATTATAACAGTTGTAAAGTTGCCTGAGTTTCCATGCAAATACACAAAACAATATTATGAATTGATTCAATTCAAATATTCTAGTTACAGTGAGCATTGTTTTTAAACTTTTAGATTCAAAATAGAAAATGTTGTTGCAGCAGTTATCTATTAATTGACAAGAAGTATCTTGATCTTCTGATTTAGTAGACTGTAAAATACCTTACAGAGGTGGAAAACAATGGCCTGTTTGACATTCGGATAGAGCTGAAATTATTAGTCGATTAATCGATGGCATTTGAATAAGAATGAATCGGAAACTGTTAAGGTATCTAATTGAATCATCAATTGTCTGCAAAAATGACCAAGCATTCTCTTGTTCCAGCTTTTTAAATCGTTCTTGGTCACTAATGATAGTACATTGGAACATTAATTGAACAAAATATATCACCATGGGCTCTGAATAATAAGGAAGGCCTTTTTTGGTCATTTTTGACTCATGTTGTGCATCAGAGGGTTTCAAATGTTTTCATCAAGGGGTTAACACAACTCTATTTCCTTTATTAGGGCCATTCTGAATCCTCCCTAATCTTGAAAATATCATTTTACAGTCTCAGAGAGATTTTGTAACATGTGCTTGAGTTGTGTATGACTACAAGATAAAGAAATGTGCATCTGCAACACACTGCTATAGGGTTAGCATTATGTTAGGGGTTTTGCCCTAAAGTCACAAGCAACAGACAGTAGTGCTGGGAAAGTCACTTTTCCTACCCAGAGAGGTACCTTTAGGACTCAGGGGCCAATCTTAGCTTGGTCAGCTAGATGACCATGGTCAGCTAAGACCATGGGCACCTTCCAAATACGTGACCAAAGTCCAATTCATACCTTCTGTATCAGTCTGGTTGCGAGCATCTGTGAGATTTAATTTCATAATCTTCCATTTCTATGAGAATGAATGTGGACTGTCAATGTGGAGTGCCCAAAAGTGTGTGACTACATGGAAGGTCGTGCAGTGAATAGTGTGAACATTTCTCTGTAAGCAGGTACATAATGTATTTTAAACAGATCTGCATGTGTGCCCAGGTTTTAGACTTTATCTGGACACCATGGCGCAACGGACTATCGGAATTTTTTCTGTAACATTAGTTAAAAAACGTAGTTTGGAAGTGTCCCATTAGGAGTGACACGTATATTTACTGACAATGAAAATGGAGACATTGTAACTGCCCAGCGATTCGGATCCCCTCCAAAATGTAATGGGTTCTTTCTTGGCCCATGTTCCACCCTTCTACCAAGTTTCATGAAAATAAGGTCATTAGTTTATCCATAATCCTGTTGACAAACAGACAAACATAACCTCCTTGGTGGAGTTAGTAACCATCACTTGTTTCTGGGTTGCCGGTTAGAATCTTGGCTTTTCTGTCTATACCTATAAGTGTTGTCCACTGAGTCGTAAAGGAAAGTGTTTGATTTACAATATTTGTTACAATTCATACAATCCATGTAGGTTTATTAGTGGATTGAACATTAACCATGATGCGTTGATAAGCATTAAAAGCAGTGTCTTGTGTCACTCGCTATCAGATGCCCTGGGATAATGTGTCAAAATTGGTATCAAGATAAAAAAAAAACAGTATTGTAGTATTTACACATGAGTTTGGTTTCAAAGACATAACATATTCCCGCTTTTTTTAATAGATTTATAATTTTGAAGTGTTGTGAGGGACAAGTGTAATGTGTAGCAAAACACATTGTTAAGACAATAGCTTGGTTTAAGAGCTTTGACTCTTTTATAGTGTTCTTCATTTAAGGTTAATTTTATTCAAAATGTGCTAGATAATTCTGGTCCTAGAAAGACCAACAACGATGAAGCAGAGCTGCGTATGAAATGCACTTGTTGCACAATGTAGACCTGTCTAATTGTCTAATTTGTCAGCAATTGTGAATTTATAGTGACCTTATTCATTATATTGTGTGACTGGAATCACGATCATACAGGTACAGGTGCCTCTGCAGTGATGTGCTTTCGTTGTGCAAAAACGTGGGCTAAGATTTTCTGGAGCTCCTGTATGGCCGACATTGTTCCATTGTGCCTATTTTTCTGGCCCTTTGTGTTTTATTAACATCATTCTGTCTCCATCTCTCACCCTACATTACCCAGATCCACCGAGAGTCCACCCCGCTGTCAATGGCCTGTCCTCACTTTCTCTCTTAGCCATCGCCGTCTGGTGGGATCTGCGCACAATGAGCACGCAGCCAATCACAGACAGCCTCTGATAAAAGTTGACCAATGTCCGAAAGGCTCTTATTTACATAGACACGAGAAGAGCCAATCAGGAGTCAGTGCAGGAGCGGATTTGGACTCTTCTGCCCAATGGCTGTGGGAGGTTCAGAGTTTTGGGAGTGCATATAATCAACATATTATCGAAGGTGCTTAGATATTGATCCTGTATTCCGAGGTAGTTCAAATTCGCCTCTACTGGACCTTAGGGTTTGACCTTTTTTCCCCCGTGCTTGTTGGAGAATAATTCACGCTTAAAATGCCGAAGAGAAAGGTGAGTGTCGGCTGTGTATTCCTGCTCACTTCACTGTAGTTTTCCTGCTCTTGTATTTGAGAAAAATTGCAGTGCGCGATTTCAGTGGCGACATGGAGGCAGGTGAGGTGATGCCAAAGTTTGAGGAAGCGTTTTTTCGCCCGCAACCTTTTCAATAGTTTTTAACGCTTGTGTGTAAATGACCTATGCTGTTATGATCTTTTTATGACTATTTACACTATTAATGTCCATGCCTTCATCTCAATGGCCGTTCTTGTGGTCGTGTTATGTGCCACTTCCCTGTCCGCTGCGCGCGCTGGTGAATGTCAGGCGGACCTGCCGGATGGATAGATGCGTAAATCTCGAAGGAGACGTGCGGGATATTATATGATTTTTTATAGGCGCGTTTCAAACATATTTAAGATCCATTGATTCTGAATGTGTAATATAACAGTGTAGATCACCACCTCCCTGTCTCATGTTGGCTCTCCTGTCGGGATGAATGGTAGCGGGAGTGAACAGACCCAAATCCAGATGCAGAGAAAGGACTAAAGAAAGAGGGGATCAGGGACAATTGCCGCTGCGTTAAAAGAGGCCGTGACACTATCCAAACAGCAGTGCTCGACGAGCTCCAGTGCATTGTATCAGTGCATACATGGAAATTGGCTTTTCTGCCATTTAAAAAAAACTGCCATTGTCTGCACCGATTCTCCTTTGAGGGCAGAGAATGGGGGGCCTCCAGGGTCGCCCACATGCAAATGATGCGATTACCAACCTGCAGGCTTCGCCAGCATTTGCTCTTTTTTTTACGGTGGAATGGGAGGGGGGGAGGGGGCTGTCCTCACCTGCCCGCAACGCAGCCTGAGTGTATTCCATGTTTATAATATGATGTTCTTCATGATGCTGACAGCACGGTGTGTTGTAAGTCAATAGTAATGTTTACTCTCCAATCATCTCCGGGGAGCTCAGCCTGGTATGTAAGCAAGGTGCCTCATTTAAAATGTAATTCCCCATAGAGATCACATATTATATAAAATCAAATGAGTACAAATACAATTAGGGCTTGATTACTTTATGTTAAACATCACAGTATTTTTTTGAAGAATTTGAAGAATTATAAATAAATTCAGGAAATCAATACATTAATCAATTATTCTAATAGGCGGCCTAATGTTAGTAAATTAGTTCCGAAATAGTTGTGTTCTATAGCTATAATGGATTTTTTTTAAACATTACATTTGATTTGGTTTTACCTTATGCACAGGTAGTTGTAACTTAGTGTTATATTAAACATAAGTACGATAACTTTGATGAGGAATAAAACCTTAGACTATTTTCTTGATTAGTCATTCAGCTAAAGCTGCAAAAAAATCCAGGAAATATTCCCAAAAGAGAAAGTGAAACTACTACATTTTTGGCATTTCTGCTAATAAAATGATGATAGATGTATGGATTATAAAAGATAGAAAACTTGAGTGAACCGTATCTGATGTTTATAGTTTAAGAATTAAAAATGTTTTGACAATGATAAAACTAATTTGGAATTACAAATATATAATCTTCATTGCATTTCCTACAGATTCTAGAGACTTCTGAGGGCAAGGAGGCCTCCAAAGTCACAAAGCAAGAGGTAAATGTTTCAGGCATGTTCTGTTGCTGTGAGGCGTGTGTTGGCGTGCTGTGTTTTGGTTGTTGTTGTTTTTTGTACAAAGAGAAAGAGTATGTGTGAGTGGGAAAATAGACACATAACAGGTTAATGATTGACACTTGTAGAAATCACCAGACACTCAACATCAGCCCACAAAGGTACAACTGATATCTTTCTCTCTCTCTGTCACTTTCTCTCTTTCTCTCATTGATCATCCCTTCCTCCTGCAGCCCCCCAGAAGGTCAGAGAGATTGCAATCGGTAAGTTTCGTTCTCCCCTCCCTCCTGTCTTCACCTCTCTTCTTCCTCTCCTTGTAAATGTCACATTTTACCAAGGCTCAGAGCAAAGTCCTCACCCAGTTAATGGATTTGATGGAGGCATTTCAACAAATTTCATAAACATGCTCCTCAAGGCCTGCTGGTTTTTTTCTGTTGTCTTTGTCCATTCTTGGTCCGGTCTGTTGCAACACCTTGTTGAAGTGTAGGGCTGCATGATTAAAAGGTAACACAAGTGACATTCCATCCCAAAGTTGACTAAGAAGTTATCAAAACTATTTATGGAAAATGTAAATTGATCAAAGAATCACCTCAATCCTTGTTAAACTAATGATAGTAATCATAATATTTAGCAAGGAATAATTTGGTTATTATTTATTTTTGATCATGCAGCCTTGCTAAACAGACCATGCGTTTTTATCTGTGTTGTACTTTGCATGTTGAACCCATCTGTGTTGAGCCTCTGCATGCCTTGTACATTTGCATGTGCACCTTAAAGGAATTGATGACATTTTTGGGAAATGTGCTGACAATGCAGCTAGCAGCCAGTAGGCTTAGTTTAGCATAAAGATTGGAAAAAAGGTACAAAAAATGTACGACAATAACTAGTTCCTCAAAAGCTCAGCAAGTGACACATTGTATTTGGTTAATCTGTAAAAAATGTATTTGCCATACAACTTTAAACACCAAAAAGTCACTTTGCTCACTGTTTCCAGTTTTTATGCTAAGCTTACCATGTATTGCCTGTAGCTTCCTGTTTAACAGACATACATGACAGTGGTTGGAAGAAGTAAACCAAGAGTTGTGTTCCCAAAATGGTCAAACTACTCCTTTTAAGCTTTTGATATGCCAATTTAAACCTGTACATTTTTGCATGTTTTCGATCTGATATTTCCTTGTCTTCTGAATGTTTTCAGCAGTCAGCTTATTTAATAAAATGCTACTTTTTTTGCCAGTAAACCAGCTCTGCTGCTGTCTATATTTGGACTGCATGATTACAATTCTAAATTATAATACGAAACATGGCATTACATAATTGAATGTCAAGCCCCGCTTTCTGCTGCTTCTCATGTGCAGAGTTTAAGTGATATCTAAAGAAAAAGACATTTTGAGAAAGAATCACATGATTTAAATTTGTCACAGCGATGTGGCTTCAGGGTAACATGGTCTGCACTCAGCGGCCTGGAAAAAGCTCTGCAGCAAACTTTCTCACACAGAGTGACCAGAATTTGCAATCTCATGTGTTATAGTCGTTGTACAGTGGTCTGAGGTCAGTTCCCTGTGAGAAAAGGAAGATATTAGCATGGGAACTCTTGTCAGATCCCATTTGTAAGGAATATGGTATAATATTGATAACATCTACAATGGTATCGCCTCCATGTGTTCTGTTTTAGTATTACTGGATTTGCTAAGCAGCTCTTGTAGCTTAAACAGCACAGATATGTCTCTGTAAGTGTAGCCAAGAGATGAAACGTTATAATAATAATAAAATAGATTCATATATGGAAGATTTTATTGCTAAAAATATTCGGTCCTGACTGACTTTTTCTAAATGTACAGAAACCTGGTCCAGCCAAGCCTGAGGCCAAGCCCAAGAAGGCCATTGTGAAGGTAAAGTACACACAAACACACACTAACTACAATGAGTTATTTATATCCCCATGAATTTGCAACAGTCTGATGCCCTCGGTTGCCCCTCACTACTGGTCTATGTGCGTGACCAAGGCTGCTAGGTGTGGAAAAAACAAAAGCACGCACACAGAAATCCTCACATGCAAGCATATTATATTAAATACAATTACCTATGTATTAGCAAAGTAACCTCACTACGTGGTCACACTGGAGATGTTTGCTAAGTATATAGAAGTTTATGAAATGTTTTTAAAAAAAATGTTATACAACCTAAACCATGTAGTGTTTTGCCAGTAGTAACATGTACAGTAAAATAAAAAAGCCTATTATTAGCCTACTATTATACCTAGCGTTAAAAACGTATAATAGTCTTGAACTTAATCCTACAGCTTTTCATCAATATTTTTCCACCTTTATTAAATTGCTTATTGTTATTTACTTTCTTCTGCATTCTTTTCATGAAATGGTTTATTAAGTGCAGAAAAAAACATACTACTACTACTCCATATGTACCAGAATTTCTTATTTTCCATTTCCTCCGTGCAGAAAGTTGCGGACGATAAGGGTTCTAAGGCAAAGAAAGTCGGCGCTAAGGGTAAGAGGGATGACGGACCGGCCCAGAACGGAGAGCGCAAGACCAACGAGGTATGAGGAGGGAAAATAGGAAAGAAAATGTTATAGAAGAAAGAGAAGTTTCAGTCAGAGAGACCGACAAGAAAATTAACTATCTTTATTCCCATATGTTGTCAATTTGTGTAAAAACACGAACACGCACATACATATTAACCGCATCTATATTCCTTCACTACATAAACACACACACCCAAACACACATACAGATCTACGTGTCTCGTCCGTCCGTCAGTGTGTCTTTCATCAGAAGCACGGCTCCCTCCTTGATGTCAGTGAGAGGGCAGAGTGAGACAGTCAGAGTTAAGGGTATGCACGAGTGTTTCTAACTCCGTCTTTGAAGTGCGTGTTTGGATACTAACTTATTACTTACCAAGAAATTGTGTGTTAACAAGAGTGTTTTCTGAGTGCTGTGGCGTGTCTGACGGAGCAAATGAAAGAGACAGAAGTGAGTGGGATAGTGAAGAAGTAAGTATGTCCGACATTTTCGTTAGTGTGTGCAGTGAATTAGGCCAAGGACGACTTTCTTTTTATACGAGCAGGAAGGTTTGCCGCTCATACAGCTGTGATGTGAAATATTATTGGCTCACTGTGTTCATAGACAGCCGGCTCTACCAGAAGAGGCAGAGGAAATAAGAGGAGATGATACCTGCATATACTAAAGGAGTTATGCGTTTCAGTGAGTAGCTTTTCCCAGCAATTTAGTAACAAATAATCTAAGCCATAGGGGTAAAAACACTGCAAATCATTTGAGCTAGCAGCTTGGGGCCAGATTTACCTTTCATAACCCTGAGGTTGGAAAATATCTATATGTACACCCAAAAACAATGAAGGTGAATGGAAATGTGTTTGTGCTGCTCACAGAATTAAATTGAATAATTCAATTTTTTCAGATAGAAGTTCCAGTTACACACTATAATCAACAGATATCACTTTAAAGAGGTGCCATTGGAACTCCTTTCTACAAGAGAAACAGTCCCAACAACTATTGAGACATTGATTTGAACACTAAAGTTGGAAATAAAAACTAAACTACCTGCCACAACAAGCAGTAAATGTTCCAGATATAAAGGTGTTGCGTTATCCTGATAACTTGATAAACCTGCTCCTTGGAATAAAGCCCATGTCTTACTACTTAAATACTGCACTGCATATTTTTGATAGCTGAAATATTTCCATACAGCTGATGTTGCCTTATTTTTGCAAACAAATCTTCCTTTTTTACATATTTCTCATGTTTCTCGCTCAGGTTAAGGTTGTGGTCAGCGCTAAGGCCGACTTTTGTTGTTTGATCAGGAATTATTGTGATTGGTGGTTTGCTATCTCAGTAGTAATACATGATCTAATAAAAATTAAAACTGAGAAATCAGACAAACTATTCTTGTAGATTAGTCGCAGAAAAAGAGAGTCGTGCAAGATTTCCTTTTATATTGCGCTTAGACATTGCAATGTTGATGCTGAAACCATATATCTTGCAGCCCTAATGGATGCTTCTCTCATGGCTGTGGGCTGCAAAACTAGAAGCCAGGGAAATTAGCTTAGCATATAGACTGGAAACCAGTTGAAAAAGCTAGCCTTCTGTCTTAGTGTTTGTACACATTAAACAAACCAGATATATTTTTGAATACGTGAGCTTTAGAGATGCTTGTAGGTCAACTTTTTTTATTTAATGTTGGTACAGAGCCAGGCTAGCTGCTTCAACCTGTTCCCAGTCTTATGATAGGCAGCCACCTCCTGGCCCTAGCTTTACATGTAGCTTAGCAACCCTGTCTCCTACATGTTAAGTTCCCATACAGCTAAACTGCATTCTCTATTATGTTTTTAGGGAAATTTACTTAATTTAAGTTTTCCTCGCAATGCAGTTTGTAGTATGGAAAGTCATTTATAGGGGGCCAGGCTGAGCTTACAGACATGAGAGAAGTGCCCATTGAGGCAAGTTAAATCCAGTCCCCATGGGAACCTACCTGTGGCGAGGGCTTGGACACAGCTTCATCATGTGACTCTTTCTTCTCTTCTTCAGGTATCTGAGGCAGCGGAGGAGGCGACTGAGGAGAAGGCGTAAACACACGGACGTATCCACCGACTCGTCCCTTCTGACACCATGGCAGCAAAGCATCTTTTTTTACTGACGATTTTTGTACCATGCTGATTTTTTTTAGACTTCTTAGTAGAGATGGACAACCAGCAGCATAATGTTCACACTCCTTTCAGCTCCCCTTACCTTACACTATGTTTTTACTCGATTCTCCTCCCTATTGCGTTCTGAATCGCTGTCTCAGAAACGGAATGAAGTGTTTTTATCAGACGGCTGCAGATGTTCTTCATTTTACATGAAGGGGGCTGTAAACACGACTGTTATGATCTATAAACCAGCTCTGACTATATTTGTAGTCTCTACCAAGGATCATTATTATTGGCACTCCCCCTGATGGTCAAGGTGAGGGTTTTTGGATCAATTTTGGATACAGAGCTACAAGAAACTAGGTCCATAATCCCTACGTAGAACATCTGCAGCTTTTAAAAAAAAAAGAAAATGTTAGTTTTTAGAATCACCTCCACTATGTTTCACATAGCTCCTTTTGTATTTCTGATAGAGTGAATGTGTTTGTAGGTC